GGGTGTCTAAGATCTAGGCGCTAAGAAGAGAATTCATACATATAAAAATACTCTTTAAAAAGAGAAGTCTTAAGTTTACGTTTAGAGAGATTTAAATTGTTACAAGAACGAATGTCATCAGGTAGTTTGTTCCACTGTTCAGGAGCCGAAAAAACAAAAGATCTATAGCCGTAAGACTTGAGATTAAATTTGACAGGAGCGGACAGGTGTAATGTTGAAGATGACCGGAGCATTCTTGAAGGTGAATAACGACGTATCAGGTCTTGAATATAGAGAGGAGACTGCTGGTGAAGAGCTTTTTGGGTGAGCAGGATTATTTTGAATTTAATTCGCTCGGAAACTGGAAGCCAGTTAAAAAAATTAAGTGATAATTATTATTGCTATCAAACAACAACAAACATATGAAACATATGTGTGAACTGCGGTTATGAGACGTATAGGCCTGAAATTATCGAATCCCGTACAGGCCTAAAAATTTTTTCAGGTCTGATTTTCACTATTGCTCAAATAGTGCTTTACTGCGAAGGATCGTTCTCATATACGTATTATTGCTATGCTGACAATTCCTGTTATACTACCAGCTAAAAAATAATACTAATAATAGTTAGATTAATGTGTAAAATTTATCTCAATTATTGAATAGGTTGTGATACTCACCCGTTTTTCTTTGTTGGCATTTTTGTGTGCAGTTTATTCCATTGCATTTAAGTCCACAGTCAGTACTACTGCAATAACAGGTTTGTCTAGTAACAAATATCTGTTTTTCGCTGGTCATATTACATTTTGTTGTGTTGCATATCTGATAAAGGCTACTTCGGTTGCGTTTGACCTCATTACAGCGATCTGCTAATGGGTTGTATGTCTCACTACATTTTTCCTCGCAAAACCCGGGAGACATCCTATTTCGCTTACCCTTACAACTCGTTATGATACACATCAGTTGGCAAGTGTAATCAGTAAAGTAGCAATTCTGCACCCAACTCTTGTTGCCATATTCGAGTATGCAAGGTATTCCAGAGTAGTTTCGGCAGTAGCCTTGCAAAGAACCTTTTGCAGTAACTGGAAAAAGTGCAAAAACTATAAAAAATGAGGAGAATAAACGAAGCAATTCAAAGAGGAAAACAGTATGATCTGCCCTAAACAGCAGCGGTTTTCAATAATTGAGTAATTATGCACTCTAGTAAATCAGCGCTTATCTTCTTCACCAAGAATACTAATGATAGTAATTACAGTATTTATGATGATAATAATAAGAATATTAACAGTAATAATAATAATAATAATAATAATAATAATACTAATAGTAATAATAATAATCATCAGTATGCACTAGCGGTCCTTAAGTACCCCATGTGGACGCAGCACTGGTCGCTGACAGAACTAAGGAGGACTGATCGAGAAGCGCGGAAAATCATGGTAACAAATGACGGAAAACACCCAGCGTCATCGACCGCCTTATTGTACGTGTCGAGGAAGAAAGGTGGACGTGGCCTGCAGTTCGGAGAGAGACATACAAGATCACGAAGATTAAGGCAGTAATGAAACTGTACTCAAACAGCGACCCTAGTATGAAAACGGTAAGAGAGTTTGAAGAGCGCGCTGCTGCGTTGGGATATCAGTCACTCATTACTGAGGCCCTGAGGTATAGTGAAGAACTTGGTCTGACGTTGAGGATTTTACACCTGGAACCTGTACCCTGAGCATTCCGATTGGGCCAAATTTCGGAC